CCAGTAATGAGCCTTTTATACGTTTGTTGGGCTTTTGGTGTAATATCTCCTGCCTCTTTCATGACAGAATCATTGTTTTGTTTTTGTTTTTGTTTTTAAATTTTTTTTTTAAATTTTTGTGTGAGTGTACCGTCAAATCAGATCTGACTGGTAAAGGAGGAGATTGTCCCTCCTTTTCCCGGCAGAGCATCTGGTGGATTCGAACCGTCTGCCTCTGGGATTGTAGTTGCAGTTTCTTGCCACTAGGCCACCAGAGCTCCCCTGAATCATTGTTTTGTTGTGGAAGTTTTGTACATTTGCCATCAGATTCTTGTTAGATACTTGATTTCTGGAGATAGTCTTAGGTAGCTTGTCCATTCATCTGTTGGTGGCATTTTCGCTTTTTTATTTAAAAAGAAATAAAAACCCAAAACCAAACTTTGGGTGAACAGAAGATCATAACTTTCCTGAGATCCCACTTAGTTCTTTTGTCTTTTCCTGTTTGAGCTTTTGTTATGTATTAAATGATACAGTAACATTGTTGGAAGCTGGGTCTTGACAATGTTGCCTTGTTCTTAAGTGCCCTCCAGTCGTGGTGACTCATAGTGACCCTATGAACAGAAGTCCTGGACACCTGTATAACTTTCATCCTTTCTCCAGGTTCACAGGGTTTCCAGAGGCAAGCTATAATTATGGAAGTGGATGCCACTCTTGCTTCCAAGCTTGTTTTAATTGGGGAGGTCCACAAAACACTGTCCACCATGGGAAACCATTATCACATTTGATACATCAGTGTCAGTGTTCAGCTTCACAAACAACCATGAGTTACCGCTGTACAGCAAGTGGACAGACCAGGGTTATGCAACCTAGAAGAATGTTTCACCAAGAACAATTAAAGGCAGGCCTGAGGGCCATGGAAGTTACCCACCTTTGGCTTGGGAGCATGACTTTCTGTCCACTAGGCCAACTGCTCTGTCTATGCTATTGAATGTTGCCTTAAGTTTCTTTTTTAAACCAGTTTTCAAACTTGGTTAAACCTCCTAGTCAGTAGCTCTCAGCAGGTGTTTTGGGGTTTTGGCTTTGTTAATTTTGGGGGCGTTAGTGCAGGTGGTCATCCCTTCTTCTCTTTTGGGGGGCTGGGGGGGGGTAACTGTGTGCCAGGGCCTCTTTATAACCAGTGCAGTGCAGGCACCTTTGCACAAGAGCTGGATGAAGGCGAAGGAATACTGTGCCCTCAGGACGTCGTGTGAGACAAAGCCCTTGCGGAAGGTGATCTGGAAGCGAAAACTTGGAGCAGGTTTGAACCAGTAGTAGATGCAGATCTTAAGAAAGCTGGTCTTAGAAGGAGCGTGCTAGTGAAAGCAAGAGGCTTGCTCATGGAACGGGAATGGGAAGGGGAAAAGTAGGAAAAGAGACAGATATCTTTAACCTAGTCTGCCTCCACCTCGACCCCACAGGGGACAGCAGTGAGCTTGGTGAAGACCTGCCCCCCAAAGCGAAGAGCCCTGGGCTGTGGAGTGGTAACTCCTGGCTCGTTACTGCTATGGCGCGATTATGGAGTCAGCTCAATGCTCAGTGCTGGGAGCGTAGAGGTGAACTACCAGTCCACAGGTGCTCTCACACATGTCGGGGGGAGAGGCATGGGGGCTGTGAACCAGTTCATTCCAGTGTGACCCTTTGCTGAGAACTTGCCTTCACACCCCAGATAACACTGAGTCAGAAACTATATTGTAACAAGATCTCCAGGGTCCATAAGTGGGTTAAGTGTGCGTAAGCCTCACTGGGGATGCCATGACCGTGTAGACGAGGGTGCAGAAGATCTGGGGGAGAGAGGCATATTCTCAGAAGGGGTTCAAACCAGAATGAACTGGCTCAAATCTCTGCAGAAGTGAAGAAGCACCGTGGTGCATACAGTAACACCATTGGTTAGCTGGTATAGTGAGACAAGAAAAAATGTGGATATTTTTAGCTCAAAACTACGCAAAGTTTCTTTTTTAAAAACGAAATCCCAAAAGGTAAGCCCTTGTAGGTGTTAGACGTGAGCGGAGTGTTTTTGTTTTTAATAGGCAAGCCTCAGGCTTCCCGTCTGTAAAAGGGGTGCGATGCTGCCCAGCTCATAAGGTTGCCATGGGAATGAAATGTGATCTGTAGTGTGACCCGTAGACCTTCCCCCAGAGGAAGCAGGGTATCGCACACACCGCCCAGGGATCTGTTTTGTCAGCCAGTGAGGTCTCGGCACTGGAGAACAAGTCAGTTTCTGCAGATGATGGGAATCTGATGTGGCTTTAATGACTTGCTTTTTCTCCAGCATTGATTCCAAGTTTTCTTCTTGTCCAGCCTGGAGAGTGAGCTTTGGCATTTCCTAGCACCCTGCGTGGAGGGGGTCCTGCTGGACTCTAGCTCCCTCCGAGGAGGGTAGGGTGACATCGGTGGTATCTGTGTGCTGAGCGGGGTGTGTGGTCCAAGCCTGGGTCACGGGGATGGAGAGGGACTGAGAGCCTGCACTAGGAGCCAGTGGTGGGGCCTGGGTGTTCCGTGGAGGAGGCCTCCTTACGTGGCCCATCACAGGGAACAGCGGCTTCTGCTTCTCACACCTCCTATCCGGTTTGGCCAGGAATGGGCTCATGCCTGCAGCTCTTCCCCGTTTCGATCCCAAACATGGGGCCAGGGAAGCAGATGGACACGAGAAGTAGTTGAGAGGTGGGGGCCTGGAATACAGCGACTGCTCTTGTGTTCTGTGGCAACAATTCGGCTTATTCCTTTGACTGACTGTCCACTGCGCCCATCCATTTAAGCCCTCTTGTTACAGCCTCCCTGAGTGGGTGATGGGCGCCTCCTCCGCATAATGTTAACCATGGTCACGCACCTCTGTGCGCTATTCCCTGGGCGTGTCTGCCTGTGTAGTTTACCTCCTTAAAAGATAAGTAGATCCTAATGGACATGTAATGAAATCTTATCATAGAAACCACACAACAAAAACACAGCCGTTTACACAAGCATATGGTTTGTGGCAAAGAAAAAGAAAACAGTTATAATAACTTCTTGGAGATCAGAGAGGGAGAAGCAGAACCATAGGTCAGCAGCTTCTCAACAAGCAAGGCTGGCCCTGAGGAGGTGTCCCATGGACAGACAGAGGTGGCCTTCAGGTGGATCAGAGGCTGAGTCAGTGTCTGTCCAAGGGAGAAGCTCCGAAGGTCAGGAGAATGAATGGAAGTGAGAATCACAGGGAGGAAGTGGAAGAGTGTTGTTACAAACATGAGGACGGTAATTAGTGCTGCAAAGCAGAATTTTAATCATTGAATGGAAAACCAATCGCTGTTGTAAATTTTAAATTAAAATGCATGCTTATAGGTACATTCTATCTATCTATCTATCTATCTCCATCCACACATACTGACACACATGTATACATACATACATACATGTATTTATGGAGCCCTAGAGGCTTAGTGGTGCAGCCAGGCCAGACCCAGGCAGTTCAGATCTACCAATTGCTCTGCAGGACAAATATGAGCAGTCTCCTCCCTTGCAAGTTACAGCCTCTGAAAACCTGTCAGCCATGAGTTCGTTCCAACTGGAGGATAGTATATAGTTAAACACACACACACACACACACACTATTTTATATAGATATACTATTATATATATATGTAGTATATAGAATGTTTATACATACATACATATATGTTATATATGTGTCTATGTGTGTGTGTAGTTGTTGTTGTGTACCGTCGAGTTGGATCTGACCCATAGCTGACCCTCTAAGCAGGTTTTCAGAGGTGGTAAATTGCATGGGAGGAGATGGCTTAACCTTCTACAGAACAGGTAGTGGATTTGAACTGCACACCTTCAGGATTGCAGCACAGCTTTTTGTCACTAGCCCACTAGCCTGAAGGAACCTACTCATAGTTGACCCCCCAATGCGTTTTCTAAGGCTGTAAATTGTGCAGGAGGAGACTGGAGATTGATCAGCTGTCTCCTCAAGAACCAGTAGTGTATTTGAGCTAGTTAAGAGGCACGGCCTTTGGGTCAGCGGTGCAACCCCAATGGACTACACCAGCCGGGCACTCTCCATACGGATAGATGTGTGATCCAAATTACATAACAGACACGTGATGAGCATTACATACCTAAAAGATACGTGGTGCACATTACATACCTAAAAGATGAGCGATGTGCATTATGTACATAAAAGATGTGTCATACACATTATGTACATAAAAGCTCTGGTGTACTTACACACATAGGGTCACCATCAATCAGGATTTATGACAACTTACTGCTTTGGTAACTTGAAGAGATCCAGATGCCAGAAACAGGTTAGAATACTGAAGAGTGACCAGGGAGTGATGAAGAGAGGACAGTTAGGATCATGTTGAACTCTTGGGATGCTTAACAGGTGAGGGTGCTGTGATAAGTACCGTTGGATAGGTGCAGGTGCTGTGGTGTGTACAGTTGGACAGGTATGAGGTGTTGTGGTATGTATGGTTCGGACAAGTATGAGGTGCTGTGGTTTGTATCATTCCAGCAGATGTGGGTGCTGTTATATGTATGGTTTGAACAGGTTTGAGGTGCTGTGGTTTGTACAGTTTGGACAGGTGTAAGGTGCTATGGTTTGTATGGTTCTGGCAGGTGTGAGGTGCTGTGGTACGTACAGTCGGACAGGTGTGAGGTGCTGTGGTACATACAGTCGGACAGGTGAGGTGCTGTGGTACGTACAGTCGGGTAGGTGTGAGGTGCTGTGGTACGTACAGTCGGACAGGTGTGAGGTGCTGTGGTACATATGGTTTGGACACGCAGGTGACAGAGACTCCAGGGCTGTGACCAGCTCAACAGGTGGAAGAGAACTCACTGATTCGTTCACTTTTGTGGTTTGAGATGATGGCTCCCTGTTTCCCAGTCCTTCGAGAATAAACACTTTTTTAACATAGGATGCTTTCTCCATCTGCAGGGTGAGGCTGTGTGTGTCTCCTGTTTGTGGAGCACTTGGAGATAAGCTCTTCTCTCTCTCTCCGTTTCAGTGTATTCATCGAGACTTAGCAGCCAGGAATGTTCTGGTCACAGAGAACAATGTGATGAAGATCGCTGACTTTGGCCTGGCCCGAGATATCAACAACATAGACTATTACAAAAAGACCACAAATGTAAGTCTATGCAGAGAATATGCGAGGGTGGAGGGTGGGGCATGGCTATGAGAGACAATGAGGCAGGCCGAATGTTCTGGATAGATCGTAGACTCCCAGATCTAGAAGGATCATTCCTCTGCCTTTGTCTTTATTTTCTGCTTTACTCTTCATCAGTTTCTTAGTAAGTGCAAGTGGGACAGGGAGCTGTATTTCATCATTAGTTGATGTGCGTTGCCTCACTCATGGTGGCCTGTATATAGAAGTGGAGTGGTGTCCAGTCTAGCCGCCATCATGGTCATTCTGTCCAAGTCCACTCTACCATGTTACCTGCGTGCTGTGTAATGCCTTCGTACCCAGCGATCATCCAGAAAACCTTTGTGAGCTAATTTCTGGTCCACCGTGAGTGACCATCCTGTATGTGCAATACTGGCGGTATAGCTTCCAGCATCATATCCACACGCAAATCCCTGAAGTCTGACAAATGAGTGATGGAGGCTACACATAAGATGTGGTTCGTAGAGATAAAGCCTTCTTGTGTTCATAAGAGTCAGCAGCCTCTGACGTTCATATGCTCCTTAGCAAGGACTTTCACAGCCGAGACTGAGAATGAGGCTTGCTTGGTTCATTTTCGCTGGAAAGTTGGTCTGAGCATGTCTGCGTGCTGCAGAGCTCCATGACAGGGAGAAGGAAAAGTGATGGCTTTCCACTAATGTTCTGAGTCTGCACACCTCACTCGTTATAGTCTTCATATTTCTATTCTTTATTCAAGGACCTATAAAAGTCATTACACTAGCGTGCTATAAGCTTGCCAACAGCCATCTAATGCCCAAATATGGGTCTATCCTTGTCTGGAACAAAGAAGAGGGAGTAAAAGCAGAGATATTCTAGAACAAACTGTCCAGAGGACTAATGGATTATATGAACTTCAACTTCCACAACTCTGAGACCAGAGGAACTTAAGTGGTGCCTGGCTATCACTGCTGACCACTTTAAAAAGGGTCACTGTAGAAGATATTCAAAAGAGTGACCCAAAAAGACAAAAAAACCCACCCCCAAACCTAAAGTTAGCCGGGCTTTCTAGTCCTGTAGAGACTGGTAGAACCTCTGAGACCATGGCCCTTAGGCAGCCTTTGAAGATGCAGCAAAATTCACCCTGTGACTCCCATTTTAGCCAAGCAGTGGAAAGGCCTAGAAGGTGAATGGGAACGCCAGGGAGACCCCGTAGAATGATCAAAAAAGGTGGTGTCTTCCCAGGGCTTAGAGGACAGGGAGGACTGGGACAGAAGGTTTCATGGAGATGAGACTCACAGAGAAGTAGAAAGAATAAGGTTATAAGTATTTTAATTATAAGGTTATATGAGGAGTATTTTAACTAAACAAAATATGTATGAGCGGTTGAATGAAAACCAGTTTGCTTCATTAACTTGCACCCAAATCCCAATTTTAAAAATGTGGCGAAGCATTAGTGACTTCTGTTAACATAATCAGGCCATAGCCCTGTTGTGGTCTGCTGAATAAGCTCATTCTTAATCTGTTGATAGTCTGTGTTCTCTCCTATCTACAGGGGCGACTCCCGGTCAAGTGGATGGCCCCTGAAGCCCTCTTTGATAGAGTCTACACCCATCAGAGCGACGTGTAAGTGGCTCCCTGTTCCTCTGGTGTTTTCACTGGGCAGAGCTTGCCTTTCTTCCTCCTCGGCTACCTGGCACATCTTGGGCATTCACAGAAGGGGCAGGAGCTGCCTTAGAAAGGACGGATTTCATGCTAGGCTGGCAACTAATGCTCTGTTACTAATCTGCCTGGCTTCAAAGCCCAGGGGAGGTGGGACCGCTCGCCGCCCCTGCCAGCACGGAAGTGCCCCCTCCAGCCCGTTCGTGGATGCGTAGCTGCACAGCCGCCCTCCGAGCTGCCAGGCTGCCGGCAAGCGCTCCACTCCTGTAGAGAAGCAATCCCGAGACTTCGCCTCCTTGGAGGTGCTTCATTTTGTTTCCCCTCTCACCTGGATTTGCTGTTAAAGGGCCAAGTCATCATAGATGACTTCCACACGGTTTGGTTGCCGCATTTATTCTTCCTGTCTGGTCTTGGCATCCTTGACAGCCATAAAGAAACAAGGAGGAACTTCTAGAACGTTTCTGTAGACCTCGAAGATGCTGTAGGTTCACTTCCAGACCACGACGATAAAGTCAGAATCGCAGCAAATTGAGTTATCTCCATTTTGGTGTTTCCTTTTGCTCTGAAAATTCACACTGCAGTCTTAGCAAGTGTGCACTGTTGTTGTGTGCCGTTGAGTCAGAACTGAGCCATCACTGGCCACAGAGGCCGTAAATCCCATGGGAGGAGATCGCCTCTCTGTCTTCTGTGGGCCAAGCGGAGGCTTAGAGATGCCAGCCTTTGGATTGTCAGCGTGATTCCTTACCCACTAGGCCACTAGACCTTCCTCTGGTGTGAATAGAATTATGAAGAAGTTCAGGATGTTGGGCGGATGACCAGAATGTGACACAGAGACATGAAGTGGGCACATGCTACCAGATAATGGTGTCAACAGGCTTTTTCAAGTAGAGATGCCACAAACCTGCCATTCATAAAACAAAAAAATGCACTATTTGCACAAAACACAACAAAATGTGCCCTGTCCATACTGGTGTTCCAGAAGTTTCCATTTGGAAGTTCAGTTTGAAATTGACCACTGAGGACAGCTGGTGATGAGGGACATGACTCCTTGCCATACTCTGTACCTGGAGTCTGTCACTATTCCAAAATCAGAAAGTTCAAGATAAGTTGTTTTTAAAAGAAAATGATTTGTGGGGTTTTAGGTTCATTTGCCCTAATTGCATGCTGTCCTCGTGGTCCATGGTCTCAGCAGTCGTAGGGAAGGTGGTGTGATGTGCGTGTTCGCAGAGCGTTAAACTGAGGCTGGAGGCTGGTTCTGCCTGTACCCTGCTGCCTCTGGCAGGGGACAGGTTCACTCTGCCCAGATACGGTGCCATCACATCAGTGTTTGACTCATCGTGTCCCCCTGTGACAGGTGAGAACTCCCCCAGGGTCTCCTCAGCTGTAGTCCATGTGGGAGTGGATGGCCACGCCCACATCTTTTCCTGCTGAGCCCCTTGGTGGGTTCGAGTCCCAGCTCCACCGCTGCGCCCTACCGTTCTTGAATAAATCGTGGGTGTTTCTGGTGGTGCTGTGTCAGGGGCATTTAGAACACATTCCCTGGTTTTCTGGGGGGTGACTCTCCTGAACAAGGCCCAAAATGTCCAGGGATGCTCTCTGGAGGAACCTGTTTTAAGGTTTTCTCCAAGAGCTGATTCTAGTTTTGGTGAATGACTTTTTGTCTGTGTGAGGGCCCTAATTCCTCTGTCCTCCTCCCAGCCTGAGCTAACCCCATTTGTGACCTCTCAAACCCTGCTTCTGTCACGTCATTTCCCACTTGCAGTGACCCTGCATTGCATTTCCAGGGTTATAGGGTGTAAGAGGAGGAGATGGACTGTTTCTCCTATAGAGTGGCCGGTAGATCCCCATCCACTGACCCTCTTTTGTTAGCAGCCCAGCGCACATAACAGACTGGGCAACCAGTGTTCTTTCCTGGTGACCTCAGGCCCCAAACCACAGTGCCCTGAGGCACCACTGGCTGCTCAGGGACCTTGTCTCCCCATCCAGGGAGCTCACAACTCTTGCACAGAAATACAGAGGGAGGGGCTTTCCCTTCTTCTGCCTTTGAAAAGGAAGCGTTGAGAACCTCACGTCAGCAGCACTGCATTTGCGAGGAACACTGTTAGGGAAGGTGGTGCTGGGTCTGGCCTTTCTGAGTGCCCACAGACCATCCATGCCCTCCTCACTGAGGGGTCCTCCCAGGACAGGATGGGGTGTTTGTGTGGGAAGCTGAGTCACTGGCCTGGAGTATAAGCAGTGGGCGAGTGTTTACCATCTTAGCCAGGCACTGTGAGGGCTGTTAGTGAAGCTGTTTTCTTTCTTTGCAGCTGGTCCTTCGGGGTGTTGATGTGGGAGATATTCACTCTGGGAGGCTCTCCATACCCAGGGATTCCCGTGGAAGAGCTGTTCAAGCTGCTTAAGGAAGGCCACAGGATGGACAAGCCGGCCAACTGCACCAATGAGCTGTAAGCACCTTCCTTCCGCCCCCCACCTCGGGTCCAGGGCATGGCCAGACCAGAGGTCCATTGTCTGTGTGGCTCACCCAGGTCCCGCTATCAAAACCTGTCTGAGAAGAAGGGCTGATGTTTTCTGGGCTCATTCCCAGAACAGACATAGACAGACAGACATAGATAAATGCAGTGATGATCCTGGCCGTGGCCCATCCAGAAGGAACACGGCTGTCCGGGGCCTGATGCAGCTTTCATTCACGCAGAGAGCCCAGCTGCCTATCTGAGGCTTTTTCAGCCTGGGCCCGGCTGCGATTTCTCTGTGCCATCTCCCTAGGATGACAGGGAAATGTCTAGGGCTGCCCTCAGTGTGTAAGGTTAGAGGAACAGGGACCCCTGGCTTGGTGTTTGCACTTGCCCTTGGCCTGGCAAATGGGAGAACGGAAGTGTCCGCAGTGGCCTCCTGACCACCAACAAGTTTGCGTGAACTCGTTCAACTCAAAAGACTCAAACTCATTGCAGTTGGTTGGAACCAACTTGTAGTTGACCCTCCGATGGGATTTCGAGAGGCTGTAAACACCCTGGGTGGAGATTACTCCCATTTTCTCATGGAGTTGTTGGATACCAACCACCATGGCTCCCTCATGAACTCGTTCACCTCACCATCCCTCCCGGGCATCCAGTCAGAACTGACCCGCAGCAGACCCTGTAGTGGCATTTCAGAGGCTGTAAATCCATGGGAGGAGATTGGCTGTCTTTCTCTCTCAGAGCCCTTGGTGGATTCGAACCAGCTAAGAAGTGCCTCCTTTCAGTTAGCAGTGCAGGCCCGTGGCAACTACGCCACCAGAGCTCTTGGATATTAGCTATCAGCCCCGCTGCCTTCCCGGGGATGCCACCAGCTCTAACCACTGGGCCACACGGGAAGCGAGATGGGGTACAGTGTGACGTGTGTCCAGAGCCATAAAACCTGTTCTGTGAAGGAGGTGTCTCTCCCTCCCTCTCTTCGCCAGGATTAACTAGGCAATGTGATTGTCCCTAAGACTGCAGCCTATTGTGTGTCATTTCATGGGGATTTTCTGTCACTAATCCCATGAGCACTTTTCCGTGCTCAGTGGACGTCAGATGAATGGCCATGTTTTATGACATGTTGTATAAAGGCACCAATTGTGTCTCCTGCTGTCCCTATCACCTTGTCCTCACCTAGAGGGTCTGTCGAAATCCATAGTCAAGATAAGGGCCCCTCACAGGTTAATCAGGATGCCACGTACAGCCTGGGGTCTCTGCCTTAAGCCTGTGGCTTCTGAGCTCTGTTTATTTACTTTGAAACTGAGGAATCTTTGTCAACTGAAATCTTAGCACAGAAACCAAAGTGTTGGGCAGATAAGGCTAAAGCTGCTTTGACTGACAGTAAATGGGGGGCAGGAGGGACCTGGAGGCCTTCCTGCTCACATATGGCTTGTCTGTGACCCCCAAATGGCCTTAAAGCATGCCTTTATCAATCCTATTGTCATATGGCCTTCTATATCCAAGAGGTCAGAAGTCAGCAGGGAAAACATGCCTCCCTTCAAGCTGTTAGGGTGCGCCTGGCGAGTCATGAGATGAGATTTTTGTAAATCTAAGTGCCTTTCAGAAAAAAGCCCTAGGGAATGTGAATATCCCCTCCTGACTTGGCCTCATGGAATGTTCTGGTACGTGTTTGCAGCTGAGCTTGATGTTGCCCAAGCCTTTCTGTGGTCCTGGGCCTGGCCCCATCCTGTATCTCACTCAGGACCCCATGTTTTGCAGGTACATGATGATGAGGGACTGCTGGCACGCTGTCCCCTCCCAGAGGCCGACCTTCAAGCAGTTGGTGGAAGACCTGGACCGGATTCTCACACTCACAACCAACGAGGTGAGAAAGGACCCACACTGCCCATTCCAGAAGCCTGCTGGCCTTGCCTGGCGTGAGACGAAAGCTCAGCCTTGTTCCCTGCTGGGGTCTGTACTGGAGCTGACCACTTTTCTGCAGGGGTCAGACAGAGTTAAACTCCTGTTCTCGTTAAGCCCTGAGGTTGCTAGAACCATTTTTTGTGAGTGTGGACTCTGGAGACTAGGCCAAGGAGGTTTGCCTAAGGTTTCAGCTCACTGTGGCTTTGGGCTGGTGGATCCAGGGTGAGTGAGTGTGTGTGTGTGTGTGTGTGAGAGAGAGAGAGAGAGAGAGAAAGAAAGAAAGTAAGTGAGTGTGGTCCATTACAGATCATCTTGCCTGGGAACCACATGCCATCAGTTGAATTTCCGTAACACAGAACCACGAGATCCTAGTAACGTAGTAGGGCTGTGGTGTAGTGCTAAAACCAGTTTCCTGCAACAAGTGGCTGACATGTTTTCTTAAGTGAAACCATGCACCTTTCATTCTGATGACGTTTTTGGACTCCTTACCAGCTAAAGAAGCCCTCTAGCCATCCTTGCCTGAAGTCACCCAACTCAGTGGCTGTTTATGGCACAAGTGTGGTTCCAATGACAACCGGTGGGCTGAAGGTTGGAGTCCACTCAGAAATGCCTACAGTCAGGTCCTGAATACTCAGCTACAGTGTTCTACACTCAAACACGTGGGTGGTCACAGCTCATTATCCGCGTGACAGTCACATTAGTGCAGCTGGGTTCCGAAGGGCACAGAAGGTAGTCACTCCTATCAGACAGGGAGCTCGGTGGCCTAGTGGTAACGAGCCTCGCTGCCAACCCAAAGGCAGTTCAGATCTTCAAATCCACTAGCCGCTCGATGGGAGAAGCACAGGCCATCCCTGCAGTGTGATTTACTGCCTTTGAAAAACCTACTGGAGCTATGAGGGTCAGACCCAGTGGGGGTCGGACCCAACCAGACAGCATGTAACAGCAACATATCAAAAAAGATGAGAAACTACGAATCAAAGATGATAAACCAGTCAAGTCGAATACAGTCCCAGGAGAGTGAAATCCTTAGCCAGTGAATGAAAGGTAATAGTTAATGACGGGGAGGCAATACGTTTTCAAAGGGGGAAGAGAAATCATCTCCCGCGGGCTCTGGAAGGGAAAAATGACATTTAATGTCTGATTTAGAAAATAATCTTTTTTAAAAAGTGAAAATGAAATGCGGCGATGGGCAGTGTCCACCCACGAACTTGATCTTGAGAGTGTGACCTGGCTGTGTGGGTAGAGGGGAGATTGCTTTTTAAATGAGCACAGCTGACCTTCAGAAGTTGAAAGAAACAGTTGAAGAGAAGGGAGAAGATTTAAAAAAAAAAATAACCCACAACTTTCTTCTCCTGCCAAAATTGTTGTTCCCAGTGCGAGTTCCTTTAACCCTCGACTTGCAATCCACTGATAAACCAGCATTTTCCTATCAGATCTGGAGGTTTACGGCTTCATTTGGAAACTGGGACCCAACACTTTGGTTCACTTTAACGCTGCTGGGTCCATGTTCAGGTTTATTTATGGATTTTTATGTAAAGTGGGCCTGTTCCTACCGAAATTCCTATCTAGTATCCTAAAAGGCAAAGAGCAGAATGCCATGCCATCTTGTCGAGCGGATATAAAAATTGAAGTTTCTTTCCTCCTGAAAATCATTACCACATGCTCGAGGAAAAATGGTTCCTTTTAGGACCGGGTTTTTGTTTTTGTCGTGGTGAGCGGAACGCGCCCCTTTGATGTGGTGGGTGTGTGTGTTTCCAGCCGTGCGGTTGTGCTGATGCAGTTGGAGCTGACATCCCCTTCAGATGGGGACTGTGTCTCTTGCCAGCCCTGGGGATGAATTATAGTGGGGCTTTCTTTCTCCCCCATCTTTTAGAGCGTATGGTCGCCAACATTCCGTGGGCTCTTTTCTGATAACACTGAGGCTCTTTGTGCTGCGATCTGCACTTTTTTGCCCCTTTCTCAGCAAAACCACATGTCACAGAATAACACTTGGTTTCTGCGTGGGCCTGAGCAGAACCACCCTTCGTGCCAGCTCACTTGGACCAGGAGACCCACAAGTTCTCCTGCCCAGGAATCTCGCACGCTTTTTCTGCAAAGGGCCAGAGCATTGGTACTTTAACTTGGCAGGCTGTTTGGTATTTGTCGTACCAACGCCATTTTGCTGAACCAGAAACCAAACCTCTTGCCGATGAGTCTCCGAATCAAGTGACCCTCCATTGGGTTTCATCAAAACCTTCGCAGGAGGAGACCGCCCACCTTTGTCCTACAGAGAAGTTGGTGGGTTCAAGCCAACCTTTTGGTTAATAGTCAGCACTTAACACTAAACTACCAGGGCTTCTTGCAAAGGCAACTCTAGCCAATAAATGAATGAGTGTGTGTGCACATGCATATATGTGGGTATGTGTGTGTTTTCGTGAAACACTTGAACTTCAGTATTTACATAGTAGTGTATGGGTTTCTGTCATTTGATATAACGTCTGTGCCCATAGATGGTATTGTTTTGGTGCCTTGTGACCATTTAAAAAAAGTAGAAACTCTCAGGGAGCTCTGGTGGCCTAGTGACAAGAAGCTGCACTGCAATCCCAGAGGTATGCGGTTTGAATCCACCAGATGCTCTGCTGGAGAACGAGGGGCGATCTCCTCCTGTACCAGTCAGATCTGATTTGACGGTACACACACAAAAGATAATAAAATAAAATAAATTTAAGGGGGAAAAAAAGTAGAAACTCTCTTGGTTCGTGAGTGGCAGGCCGTGGGCTGGATGTGATGAACTGGGCGTGTTGGCCATGGTTAGTTGATCCTCCTCCTAAGGTCAGCCCACTCTCTGTAACTCTCCTAAACTGGGGGACCTAGCCCCCACAGGAATCCCCCAGCCGTGCTTTGGGGAGCAGAACAGCACTTCCTGACTCTCAGATCTTCAAAACTTTACAGCATAACCACCATGTTCTCATTTTTTCATTAATTACCCATGAGGAACCCAATACACACACTTCCTGAGCCTTTTTGAACCCGTTTACATGTACAAATTGGAGAGCTTCTGAGAGTTGTTAAATCACCCCCTGAATGGGGCCATGCTCCCTTGAATTGTCCTAGAAACTCACAGTAAAATGTAATGCCTTCCTTAAGGTGGGTGTGGACATCTGTAACATAATTGTGACTTTGGCTGGGGCTTGAATATGAGCTGTGTTCTCAGAGGAGGCCGTGATGTAGCAAACAAGTCACTCTAAGTTGTACTGGGTTGAGTGGGGAGACCCTGCGTGGTGCACATGGTTACCTCATTTGGCTGCAAACCAAAAGATTAAGGGTTCAAGTCCAGCGAGAGGCACCAAGGGCTTGGGGATTTATATCCTAAAACAGAAACCACTGGAGATCCTGTGAAAACCAGTTCTACTCTGGCTCACGTGATGGCTCCCCGAGTTGGAAGCAACTTGACAATTGGTTTCAGTTGAGTTGACCGCCCAACACCCACAGTCCAACAGGCTTTTATTGTTCTCTGCTGCCAGTAGTGTATTTGTAGTCGGTTCTGAGAGACTGGTGAAGGGCAGCCTTGGGACTTAAAGTGGGAACTTGGGCGGGTCATGGAGAGCTTGGCCATCCTGAGCCATTAGAAAGTGCCAAGGGGAGCCTGACCTGTCCCAGCTCCCAATATCAGCATCTCAAGAGCCTGTGTTTGAAATAAAACTCTTCTCTCCCCTTTTTTCAGGACTACTTGGACCTCACGCAGCCTCTCGAACCGTATTCACCTTGTTATCCTGACCCGAGATGAAATAAAACATCTCTCTCCCCTTCTTTCAGGACTACTTGGACCTCACGCAGCCCCTCGAACAGTATTCACCTAGTTACCCTGGCACACGGAGCTCTTGTTCTTCAGGAGATGACTCTGTGTTCTCTCCGGACCCCATGCCTTACGAATCATGCCTTCCTCAGTACCCACACAAGAGCAGCAGTGTGAGCGCATGAACAGGCCTCCTGTCTCCCGACGGGGCGGCTCCACTACCTGCACTGAGCAGGGAGCCCTTGCTCTGGAGTTTGTGGTCCGCACTTGTATATATGCCTCAGAGGAGTAAATAATTGGAAAGTGATCGGCACACATGTAAAGAAGCTATATGATCGAGGACTTGTATCTTCACCCTAAAGAAAAGAGTGTTTATAGGACTGTGGACTGCCGCAGGCCTGCCTGGGAACCCCGTCAGGTGACCCGTGGGTGCTGGCCGCGGACCACTTGGACTCAAGGCAAACACTTGTTCTGCCTTCCTTGTTAATTTTGTAATAATTGGAGAAAAATATATGTCAGCACACACTTACAGAGCACAAATGCAGTATATAGGTGCTGGATGTATGTAAATATATTCAAATTATGTATAAATATATATTATATATTTACAATGAATTATTTTTTGTATTGATTTTAAATGGATATCCCCAGGCACCTAGAAAATTGGCCTCTCTCTTTTTTTTTAAAATGGCTATTTGCTAAATGCTGTTCTTATACAGAACTTTTTTCATTTTCACCGAACAGAGAGAGGTGGGAAAAGAAAAATACTTTTACTTTCAGGGAAAAATGGTATAACATTAATTTATTAATGAATTGGTAATATACAAAATGATTAATCATTTATAGTTTGTATTATTTTTTTTGTTTTAATTTAAATGGCATTCCTATGCGGGCAGCACAGTTGACTGGTTAAACTATTGCTCACACTTAACTAGATGCCATATCCTTGGAAAGGAGAAATACTGACAGTATCTCATAGTCTGAGGGGCAGGAAGTATGGGCTGCTTTGGGTTGAAGCTTAGTTGTCGGTTAATGAATTGTCCTCATACCACCCAACTACTCGTCCTGAAGGAACCCTTTCGTGAGAAGGCATTTTTGCCCACGTGTGACTCTGTGATGGGCCTATGTAGTTACGTGTACTTCCCAGGACAAAAGGTACCTGTGTCCTCCTCCTGAGAAGATACCCCATCGAGTCTTCCAGGAAGGAGCGTGGTTGAGATCCCAACAGCGTGCTCATCTCTGCGGGCAGCTGGCTGTTCCCCCAAGTTGCTCATTAATCAGATCAGCCCACCTTTTCTTGAGTGAGTAATAGCCTTTTGGATTCTTGTCTTTTGAGAAGCCTTTTGGGAGCTTCACGTTCTACCATTGGAAGTTGAAACCCAAAGTTGTTCTGCTGAGAGTTCAAAGGATCCTTCCTCCTTTCTAAGGGATTGCTTCCATCTCATTCTGGCAAGCACCTCTCGAAAAGAACTGGCTGGACGCTACCAGCGATGTCAGCCCAAGTGTCGCCGTGCTGGACTCTGTGACCGCGCAATGTTGTCCTGCTTCTGAAACACCCACTCCCCTTGCGGTGGCCATGCAAACCGAATGCATATGACACTGATTTTACCTGTTCCAGAATTGGAGAAAGTATTTAATAAAGACCTGTTAATTTTTATACTGACAATAAAATGTTTCTACAGATATTAATGTTAACAAGACAAAAATAAATCTCATGCAGCTTATTTTTTTAATCCTTGTGTCTGGCCCTGTGGTGTCCCGCGTTAGAGGTCTGAGCTCACGGCTGTTGGGTGTGATTGTTGGGACAGCAGAGCCGGGAAGAGGCTGGGTTTGCTGCACATGGCATGGGGCTTGGGGGGTGCGTGTGCCAGAGGTTAATCTGATGGAAAATCCGAAGAGGTTGGGCCAAGTTCTGGTTTGATTTCATGCAGGGGCCCCAGGGGACTCCTTTTCTTTCTGGGGCCCAAGCAGCTCATGAGGGAGCTTTGCAAGCAGGTGGGTACATGGGAGTAGGAGTTTTCAAAGGGAACATGGGAAGAACATACAGAAACTTGGGCCCCTTGGCGCCTTCTAGACTTGCTTCCTCTTGATGATACTGAGAGGAAGCACAGTTTAAAATAATGATCTGTAGTGACACTGCCGGTGGTCTGTAAAGAGAGGAGTGGAGTTTGGCTGCCTGTTAGTTAACACAGGTGACTACAGCACTTTTGTGCACTCTCCTGGCCACCTCGCAGCACCAGAGAAGTGCGGAGCAGACCACTTCTGCATGTCTGCCGAGCTCCTGGGATCTACGAAGCACTGTGGGGTCTTTGTGGGGCTTTGAGACTGGGAGTGAGGATCTCATGGGCCATCAAGAGGATGAACTCCTGTCCCGGAAGTGCCTTTGTCAACTTCCGGTTCTTTACTTTGTGAACTTCTAGTCTTTCTCGGTAGAGCAGGGCTAGAATTCCCCCCAAAATAATAGGATTTGAAAAATAAGGCATACAAAACAGGGCCTCACAGGATGCTGATTCCTGGATCTCGGGGTGTTTTACCCATGGAGTCTCCATGACTGCAGTGGAGGATGGGAGAGATGTGCTAGAATTGCGAGGGTGTCAGAATCAAGGTCCCAGGATGTGTGTAGGCAGGTCTACGTGATGAACAGCGTGGCCTCTGCTTTGAGACTAATGGGCCACTAGCCTTCCAGTAGACAGTGACTATCGGGGAAGAATGGGAATGCTGTACTTCTTGCTCATTTTAGGGAATCCTGAACCAGCTATTTGCCATCTTAGCACCAGAATTCTTTTGAGAGAGATTTGTCATCAAGGGAAGAAAGACAAGATGGTCCATAAGAGGAAAAATACCTTGCTTTTCTTCCTTTTAAAAAGAACTATCCCAAAGTTTCTTTGAGCTCTGGTGGCCTCGTGGTAAGAAGCTGCCCTGCAATCCCAAAGGCATGCAGTTTGAATCCACCAGCTGTTCAAGGGAGAAGGCTGGGCAGGGTCCTGTGTGATTTACTACCTCTGAAAACCTGCTGAAGGGTCAGCTACGCGTCGGTTTTGACCAGACAGCGTACAACAACGTCTCCAATAAGCACGCACAGGCAGGACTTGAGAAGACTTCGGAAGCTTTGGGTTGTCTTGTTCCCTGTTGTTTGTTGGCTGTGGATTTGATTCCGACTGACGGCAACCCCATCCAATGGGAATTCATGATGAGTGACAGTGATCGCCATGGAGTCATGAGATCAATAAAGTCCACGCTTGGGCGACGAGAGTGCTGGTCATGGTTAGTTGGGTTGCGTTAACCCCTAACTTACTTTGGCAGCACGCAAAATGGGTTAAATGCTGCCTGATCAGACCCCATCACTGTTCATCTGTGGATCAGACCATTGTGATCCACAGGGCATTTATTAGCTAACATTTGGAAGTAAATCTCTAGACCTTTCTTAAGTCTATCAGAGTTATAATCTCTGCTGAAATAGATCCAACATCATGACAACACACAGACCTCCATTAACAGATGGGACTTGACTACACATAGATGCCTTGGCTGGGTCTAGAACCCAGAACTCCCAAGGAGAAGGTGGAAATTCTACCACTGAACCATCAATGATCACCAAAGAGGAGAAGGGCGAGTTCAAGAACTCCTTCAGAAAGCCCAGCTTGAGGGCTTCTGGCAGGATAGAAAACCACCCTCGGAAGAGCTCTGGAGTGTCTGTGTTCTGCCCTTGTCCACCATATGCTCCTTCATCCCCCTTACCCTGGGTAATTTGTCCCCACCCAATCTTGTGTGAAGGATATTAATCCCATAGACTTTTGAAAGTAAAATAAACAGTTAATGGAAAAGGATGCACAGGTTAGAACAGCTGTGGTTTATGACCCCAAAAACCATTTTGAGAACAAGAAATTAGTTTTTTTGGTTTGGGCTGTCTAATCAGGATTGGAGACCAGATGGGTCTAGAGGCCTCTGCTGTGGCAAATGAGGATACTAAGGTTCTTGAAAGTTATGTGGCTGGGAAATGGTCTGCATATGCAAGACTGGCTTCAGGAGGAAGGGGGGAGTAGTGGGTGGGACAGTCAGATGGACATTTGTTTTTCAACTGGGTGACATTGAGTGGGCCGGATGCTATATGGACCTTCTGGCCCTTGACTATTCACCCAAGCTTCCCACCCTCACATGCTTGCCACAGACCTTCCCTGTACCAGCTTAGTCCAACTTCTGGAAGATGTTTCTCAAAGCTAATATTTCTCTTCATGAAACAAACAAAAGAAGCCCATTTGAGTGGTTTTAGTGTAGTCAGATTGTACAACCCTGGCCACTATCTAACTCAAGACCATTTTTATCACATTCAAGAAAAATGCTGAACCCGTTAGCAGTGACTCCCATTCTCCCCACCTCCTAACTCCTGACAACTGCTAACCTGACTTCTGCCTCTGTCACCATGTGCATTTTGGCTATTTCATCCAAATGGAATCATGAATTAAGAGGCATTTTGAGGCGAGCTCTGGTGGCCTAGTGGCAGGAAACTGCACTGCAATCCCAGACGTGTGCGGTTCAAATCCACCAGATGCTCTGCTGAAGAAGGAGGAACAATCGCCTCCTGTACCAGTCAGATCCAATTTGACGGTACACACATAAAATAAATTTTAAAAAAAGAGGCATTTTGTGAATTGCTGCCTTCACTCTATCTAGGTCTTCAGTGCTCATCCGTGCTGTAACCTGTATCAGCATCCTTTATTTTAAGAACTGAATAACATTCCTTTGTATCATTATGCCACAATTTTTTTACCCAACTCGTCCACTTCTTGGCTGTTACATATAGTTCTGTTAGGGACGTTCGCATTCCATTTTCTGTGTGGACAATTGTTTTCAATTGTTTTGGACATGAAAGTGGATATCAAGTATCTTCTTCCTAGGAGAGGAAGTATGGATCATATCGACAGCGAAGTATATAACATAACATAACAACATAACATTAGTACACAACTGAAGGTTGACAGTTCAAATCCACTGGTCACTCCTCTGGAGAGAAATAGGTAGTTTCTCCCATAAAGATTTACAGGCTAGGCTCCCAGAAACTGGCAGAAGGTTACTAGGAGTTGAAATTGACTCAAAGGCAGTGAGTTTGGATTTGGTATGGAAACTAACCTTCTGAGGAACTGGAAGACCATTGATCAAAGCTGCTGACCACTTTACATTCCTGTGAGCAGTGAATGAGTCGTTTTGCCCACAGCCTCACCAATATGTGTTCTTGTCCATATGTAATAACTCTTGTTATTGTCCATGCAGATGGCTCACAGACTTGGAACAGTCATTTAATTCCGTTAGTATGTGCTGTCGCATTGACTGCAACTCCTAGCGACCCTGTGCACAATAGCTCTGAACCCTTCCCTATCTTGAGCCAGTCTCACTGTCTGACACACCTACCCCTATTACCCAGTTTCTGTATCAATCCATCTCATCTGTGGTCTTCCTCTCTTGTGCTGTCCCTCTAGCCTTCCAATCACAATGTCCTTCTCCAAGGACTGGTCCCTCCTGGCAACCTGCCCAAAGTATGTGAGGGAGAACATCCAAATCCTTGCCTCCAAGGAGCACCTTGATTTCACCCTCTCTAGGACAGACTTGTTTGTTCTCTTGACAGTCTGTATTATGTTCTATACTGTTCTCCAGCACACAACAAAAAGGCATTGATTCTTCTTTTGTCATCCTTAGTCATGGTCCAGCTCTGATGTGTAGCAAGAAAAACAAAGACCCTGTGTTTAGTTTATGTACATAGTGAATTAAAACTCCTTGCTGTCAAATAGGAACCGACTCCTAGTTGACCCTCCAGTGAGTTCTGAGAGGCAGTAAATTGCACAGAAAATCGCATCTTTCTCCTGTGGATCAACTGGTGGATTTGAATCCCCTGCTTTTGAGTTAACAACTCAACTCCCTCCCCACTGGGCCACCACAGCTCCCTAAAAGCCATCTTAGTGGGTGTGAGGTATCTCCCTGGGAATCTAGCAGC